ACAATTACAAGCAAACCCTTAGGCAGTGCCCCGCTCATCAACAGCAATATACTTGGGATGCTGCCCCCGCTCGTTAACAGTTGGATAGTATTTATATTACGGCTATATAGATTCCTTAATATTATGACCCCTACTCCAGCCTGTTAATGGGGGGGCAGGACGCAATGTATACTTGGTGTGCCAAACATTCACGAATCGCTGAGTAGTATTGCCCGTAAAGACTATTCGTGGATGCCAGCAGTACCCGGAGAATGCGCCCCCAGGTCGTGAAGCAGATCACATCTATCTCCATCGAGCACTTTCCTCGTCGAAGCATTTGTGGGTTTAGCTTGCGATTTGCAGGAGTATGGGAGTTAGGTTTATGGGTTTTGGGAGTTCAGGGCTTTAGGGTTCACAGTTCAATGTTTGAGTTCAGCTTTCATACTTGCTAGGTGCGTGGCGGTCTGGACTATTTGTTGGAGGCTGCCTTAAAAGACGCGGCATGTCGTGCAAGAGATATGCAGCCTTTTCTGACAGACGCCTGTTCTGGGAGCTTCAAGCAGATGTTCAGATGTTATTCTCACATCTTCAGTACCCAAGTAGATAAGATTCGCAGGTTTGGAGTTTTGGTTGCCAACGCTGAAGCTGGGAAGGGCCAGGGTCGGAAATACCGCAATTATAACCTACTGCTCTGATTGCGAGTCGGTGTTACTCAGTTTCGTGGGTGACCTGCCTACACAGTACTGAAATGAACCTGCAGGGAGAGTTGCAAGGCCTCTCTTCCTCGCACTTACTGGTGCCACAGATTCCATGTCATATTTCTTGCGAGATTCCGTTTGATTCCGCATTATCCTGGCTACCCTAAGCCCGAAACCCTCTATTGATATAGCCCCTATAACGTCTGGTTGCCTGAAAGTCCAGTTGCCCGAGACTCTAAACTCAAGACAATCCCTTCAAAGCTGATTACCCTGAACCCTAAACTAAAACCCTATACGACGTCCCTTCATCCCCCCCCCCCCGTTTTAGGCCTCCCTAAGCCCTAAATCCACAACCCAGCAAGTGACACGTCAACCTTTTTAAGGCCTGGTGTGGAAGTCGCCGGGAGCTAAGGATGCTGAAGACAGCTGGGTGGTGGTTTCCTGAAATTAGGTTCCCATTCAAAGGGTATATGAGCTATAGTCTAAACTCCTTAAAGGGGGTTATATAGGGGATTATATATGGGACTTCTATAGGGCTTATTAAGAGGGATACTAGGAGTTTAGACAATGGCTCATATGTGGACTGTATAAGGATATATAGTGGGTCTTACAGGGCAATATGGGGTTTTAGGGTTTCAAGTACCGGGAAGCGCCACACAGATGCTTCCCGGGAGTGGAGAGAATATAGGTACTATAAGTGGATCATTGTTGGATATTGGAGATCGTTTTCAATGATTTATGGAATACTTACCCTGGCAAGGAATTTCAGAAAGAGCTCTAGATTCAAGATGTCATCCGAACGAGGAATTAGGAGCCGATGTTATAATGATGTATACAAGGATGATTAGTGAGATTCACTCCCCGCACGTCTTAAGGACGGGCAACGCATAGAGGGCTTGAGGTTTAAGGTTCAGAGCCACGGGATCGAAAGGTAAGGTCAGATGCTTTTTTTTTCTAGGCTGTTCCGCGCCTCTTTCCTACGAGGGCGGTATCTTACCTGGCTTCGCTGCAAAAAAAAGATGGCTATGCTTGCGCCAGCAACAGGAAATCAGGAGAGCAGTCATCAAAGAGGTGAGTATCCTTTAAAGTCCCTTCCCCAAGCATTGGACAGCTCCCTCCACCAACTAATCTCCTCCGCCTATATTACTATTATAGCGACGATGACTACTATTATCACTTGTATTATTAATACTACTCGTAGTATTACTCTTATTATAACTATTATTATTTTACTAGTACTATTATGTATTAATTCTATTCCTGCCATTTAGATGCAAGCTCAGGTTGGCAAGAATCCCAAGGGAGGTTCTCGCCTTCACGTCCCTTAATGTCCATTAGCGCGACTAGTGCCCCGTTTGCGTCCTAAGACTCCCAGCTACCTAAATACTTCAGTAGATAGAATATGGCTTTGGGTATATTATGATAAGATCCCCGTATTGGGATAATAGAGACGAAAATGGAAACTACTATTTAGGGTTTAGGGTTTAGGGCTCCCAGCTACGTAAATAGTAGGCTACTGGGCTATGTAACTCATGGGGTATATAGAACCCAGAACCCAGAACCCATTATCTAGGCAACTGGAGCCCTAGGCTATGATCAAAGATGGGCAGCTAGTACATGGCGTTTTCGGGGGAGAGGAGACTTTCATAGTCGGGGCAGGGATTGATGAATAGGCTGTGCTTTTTTGCAAGGCAGAAGCGATCAGCAAAGATTCTTGCTAAGTGGCGGTTCGAAGCTCTTGTTGGGCCCTATTTAGGCGAGGGCAAGGCTCTAGGGTTTCCAAGCCAAACATTGACGACCGAACCCAAGACCAACAGAGTGCGTAAGCACCAGCTGCTATTCAAAGACTTTTCTAGTCGAGTAGCAGCTACCCAAGGGCTCCTATATAGTTCCTTTTCGGGTTGGGTATGGTTCTTTGGTAAGGGACTATAATTTATCACCACCCAAAAAGGAGCTACACAGGAGGGTCTGGGTACGCATTGGTGGGATCAAATTGCCTCCCTGTAGTTCCTCAGAAACACCACCCCTCTTAGCCCAAATTCCTTCGCCGAGGAGGTGACCATTGCTGACCTGTGATCGCCAGTTCCGAGGAAGACAGCCGTAGGGCGCAGAAAATTGGAGATCAAGCTGGAGAGTGCTCTTATAGGTAGTTCCCAAAATGAGGGTCCCATTTTGGTACCCCTAAACTTTAAACATTAGGTGCCGTAATATAACCTGAGTATATCGGAAAGTGGGCCCATACTTTGAGAAAAACCCTCATCCTGCGCATGTTATCAAGGGCCCGCTGAGGTTCCTCTAAGATTCCCTTCACAGGTAGCTTTTCATCATCACGAGTCATAGTATGAGGAACTGAAGGGCAATTCCCAGCGAACCCAGACCTCTGAACAAATGCTGATGACCTCCAGGTTCCTACTTGAGTAGTTTCCAAAATGAGGGTCCCATTTGGGTACCCCTGAATACTAGGTGCCGTAATAGAATCTATGTAGCTAAAAGGGGTCCCTACAGGACGCTATCTGGATTGCTGTTCGGAACTTGAGCTCAGCTGCGATGATTTCAGAGCACATTATATGTACTGTATAAATGTGGGACCTTGATTTCGGTTCTTTAGCAGCCCAGCTATTCTACAGCAGCTTCTTCAGACTAAATCCTAAACCCCAAACCCAGACGGTTGCATGAAATTGTCGGCTTCCCTCTCGGGGAATGCCGTACATCGGCCAATTTTTGGGTCCCAGCACCTAGGTGGACCCCCCACCCAGTGATAGTGACTATAAGGCATGGTAGGAATTATATTGGGGTCCTATTATCTTGTTATTACCCTAAACCCTAATCCCTAAACCCTAAACCCCTAAACTCTAAACCCCTAAACCCTAAACCCCTAAACCCTAAACCCTAAACCCTAACTATTACAGGGTGCGGGGGTCCTCCAGCCACGCAGCTTCTCGGTCTAGAAGTTCATGGTGTTCCCAAAAATGGGGGTTTAGGGTTTAGGGTTTAGGGTGGGGAGGTGTCTCGTATACCAGAACAAACTCCCAAATACGACCCTCATGACAGAAGGGATCCGTCATTTCTGGAAGCCTCCATGTGGAGTATATGGCAAAGAAGTAAGAAGGGCAAAGCAAAGATCTCGGGATGATCTGAAGGGGGGATTGCACCTGAAAACAGCAATGCCAAACCCTAAATCCTAATTTTGGGTTTGGGGATTCACCCTGCCTCACTACGTGCTGTGTTACCCAAGATCAAACCTCAGAGACCAAAGCACTCGGCTTAGAGTTTAGGGTTCTTTTGTTGCAGCTTCTCATCTTCTTCTTAAGATGTGGTAGTTTCCCTAAATAAGGAGACCCGAATATAAACCCCAATATATTAAACCCTTATTATGGGGACCCCTAAAATTGTACCCCCAGGGAAACCCTAAACCCTGAATGGTAGTTTCCATTTTCTTTTCCACTATCCCTATATAACCCCTATGTAACCCCTTTAAAGGGTCAAACTCCTAATTTTGGGAAACCACCATGTTTTCCAGCTTTCAGGCTGTATCAGTTGTCATCACGGCTCGCGGGTGTTGGCTCTTCGTTTTTTGCTGTTTCCTTTTTGGGGGGTTTCAGGTTCCTCCTAACATTCGTTTGGATTGCAAGGGCCTTAGCGGTCTTTTTGTCTTAGCTTAATTTGATAGTTTCCCTAAATTAATAATAGGGGACCCCGATAAAGAACCCAGTATATTATACTCCTTATTATTGGGACCCCAAGAAGGGTACCACTATTAATATTCGGAAGCCCTATTAGCTTGACATCAGAAAACCAGGTAAACCTCCTATTTGCACAGCGTGACGGGGGTGAGTCGGTTGCGGATTCAGTGTTGCAATGCAATTGTCTTACTGGTTCTTCGTAGGGAGTAAGGGAACATATTACGAAAAAACCAAAACCCTAAACCTAAGAAACAGTAAGTGGCTCGGCTGGACAGGGACTTCTGCCATGTGACCGCAACTTGTTCTGGAGGGCCCTCAAAGCTAAACCCCCGGGCCTTGTTTCGAGATCTCTGGCAAAGCTCACCTTCCCGATGACCTCACTTAAAGTAACCCAGAACGATGCTTTACGAAGAGACATGACGACAGCAAGGGTAAGCGTTGATGGAACTCCGGACAGGTCAAGGGTAACTTGTTGGGTTCCAGCAGTATTCAATATTAAGAAAAGCTCAGGTATGCACACACTTTAGGCATCGTCGAAGTTATAGGTATCAAGAGTCCTGCTTCATATGTAGTATGACGTGTACGACTGCATTTGATATCGAAATTCCGTTCGTCACCGCCGGCGTTGGGCTTTCTGCAGGGTCATTTGCGTAGCCGCCTCCTCATTGTCAAAGCCATGGCGTTGGGATCCCAGCGTTTAAAGGGCAAAATCCTTGGGGGTTTAGGGTTTAGGGCCTGGGAGAGTTTGAGAGGGGCACCCAAGTTATCAAGTCTGGGTTTGTACCGGGGTTAGAGTACCACTCAGTACGGAAGGTCTCGATTGGGTGTAGTTCCATCTTGGCTTTCAAGCGTGATTGACTGCTCTCCTGGTAGGTACGACAAATTTCAGAGCAAACCCTAAATCTCAAGGTAAAGTATCATAAAGGCAAGGAAACGTTGACACTGGAAACTGTCAGCGCGAGGGAGCACAACAAAGGTCTTCAATTGCCAGATCTGAGCATCTGAATGCAGCTGTGTAATCGCTCCAAGCGGTTGTTACGGTATTTGCCGATAATTAGGGTACAACTATGCAACCCAAATATAGCACAAATCCAATACATGGAGCCCCCAGAAAGACTTCTAATTTCGAGAAGAGCTCATGTAATAAAATCCGTCGTGAACCTGAGTACCGTATACCTGGGAATAGTGGCATCTAGGGTTTAGGCTTCAGGGTAGTATACTAAGATCATGCAGTTCTTATGTATCAAGAGAATGGAAAGCTACAAAGATGTCGCACGCATACTTCACTGGCTAGCGGTATAGCACCTTTGGAAGCCCGAATCCTAAAACTTTATCCCCAAGCTTAAAGAGAAACACTTTGACCTGAAAATGCTCCACCTGCAAAAGGCTGATCTCTAAACACTGAGCCCTGAAAGCTTAACCCTAAACCGTGCGGCTACAGCTTGGTAACTTAAACTCGGAATTGCCCGGCTCTGACTTCGCTAACCTGCATGCCCTAATTTAGGGCATGCGGGTTTGCGAAGACACATCACACATTTTCGATGCAAAGCAAAAGGCACGAGCTAGCTAAGGGTTTAGGGTTTTAGGCAATCTTTACGCATAGCCCCTACACAACATGGCAGAAAATCTGACCAAGTGAGCGCAGATGAAATGTCTTACAGAAGAACTGGAATCCACACAGAAAACTGGTCAAGAATACAAGATCAACTCAGAGTCCGTGGCTTCAGGGTGCCTTGAAGTCAGCTATGAACCCTAGACCCTAAGCCCTACACCCTACACCCCAAACCTTACACCCCAAGCCCTAAACCCTCCACCCTAAACCTCAAGAAACCTCGCCATCCTCAGGACCAAGCCGGTTAAGTCCCTCGAGTCCGAGGAGCAACGCCGTAGTCTCAGCAAAAGACCAAGGATTAAGGCTAAGGGTTGAGGGCTGAGGGTGATCCCAAGATAGCGACACGCTAAACAAATCTCAAAGCCGGAACCGGTTTAGGGTTTAGGGCTTTGGGAGCAGGATGTTTTTAACGTTGCAGAACCCCGAAATGTCAAAGCAGAAGCTCGCTTTACAACCCTGAGGGCTAGGTGGGTATGATGCACTTGCAGAGCGTTGGGACTGCAGAATTCAGGATTGAGCTTTGGGGATGCTGGTCTAGTTCTTCAGAGTTTGAGGCATTCAGTTCCATAGATCTTGCATTCATAGAGCTCAGAGTTAGAGGTTTAGTTTTGATTTGCGGCCATGATGCCAAATCTCAACTTCTTCGTGGCGCAGCCTTTATGTTCAGGGCTAGGCCGGGCAGAACGCAAGTTACAACCGGGTCATATTCTATGGTTGTTTAATGTGCTATGGTAGGTAGCACTAGTGTCTCGCAATATCCCCACCGCTGCAGGTGCAATTTGGCGAACAGCACATCCGCAGTCCCTTTCGGGTTTGCTTGTAACTTCTGCCTGGCAAGTACTCAACATCCAAATTTGGCCCCACCCAATATTGTTTCATGGAGTCAAACCTAAGTTGCCCAAATCTTTGAGATATCTCCGGCACCCCAAACCTTGCGTAACCTTGCAGCTCAAGTACCCCGAACATCCGTCTAGCATCCCAGGTGTTCAGGGTTTAGGGTTTTGGCAGCCTCTCTCTTTACCCCGTAGCCCGGGATCCTAAACCCAACCCTAAACCAAGCCAGAAACTCCTAAGCTGTTGAGGCCTCCACCGCATTCGCATCACCCTTAGCAGCCGTGACGTGGGCATCTGAGATGCTGCACAAGCCTCTACCAGGTTCAATCGACGTTACACAAGATATGAGCAGGCTTCTAACTGGTTGTTCAACTGGTACACTATCATTTTTTGTATATTATTATCCTCCTAATGCTATCACTACGTTACTATTTATAAAGTAGTACTACTAATGTGGTTCAGGTCTTAGCTTCAGTGCTTAGGGTCTAAGGACTCAGCTTGTAGCATTTCTGTGTGTCAAGGTGTTCTGCGCATGAAAGCTGTGAACCCTAAAGTCTTAGCAGTACAGCCTCAAGAAAACCCTACACTCCGAACACCAAATCCTAATCTGGGACAGTACGCCCTGAACCCACTGCAACCCTAAATCCTGAACCTTGAGCACTAAACCCCAAACCCTCAACCCTGAACTCTCAGCCTGCAGATTATGGCTCAGAGGTCCGTGCCCTCGAGAAAGTCTGCACCGACCTGGTGACTGGTGCCAAGGCTAAGGCGCGGCAGGGATTACCCCCTCCCAATTGTCCCTCAAGGGGTTTTATTAAGCGGTTATTATAACTCCTATATCATCCATTGTGAGAACTGTTACTGTAAGGGGGAATGACCCAAGGTTCAAGGTTTAGGTCACCATCCGATACTGGTTATAGTGGAGAAGCGAGTAGAAAAGAGCATGGACGATGAAATGGAATCTGGGGGTATAGAGGGGCATATAGGGATTATGCAATGTGTAGGGGCTTAAAGACTTGCCAATATTATGTTTCAATATTCTCTGTACATCATCTCCATACAATTCCGTATAGCAGTGTCCATGTCCACCCCGCCACTCCCCCTTAGGCACTGGTAAAGTATTAACCCTTCAGCCTACACTCCCCCTCAAGCACCAGTAAAGCATTATCCCTAAACCCTTTACGCTGCACCCGCCTCTAAGCACCAGTAAAAGTATTCAGGAGTTGAAAGTTGCTGGACCTGTCCGTCCGGACCTCAGTGAGCATCCTTGGTTTTGGCAACACGCCTACCCCCCTTGGAAATATTGATTTCTTTCTTGTAGTATAACTTCTATCCCTTGAGAATTATTGAATGCTTTATTGTAGCATAACTTATAACCCCAAGGAACTGTTAAGAATCCAGTTTTTCTTGTAGGTCTAAATGGAAAGCAGAAGGCCGCGTTTCGTTTTCCAGCAATGTCAGGTTGCGTGATTCCTGAAGCTTCGAACTATGAAAAGGCACACAAGGGTCCAAAATATCGGGTCTAAGGTTTACAGGGTTTCTGGCGCATAGGAACGTTAAACGGCCCCGTGGAGCATATAAATGGAAGGTATCACGAGCATAGACGACTTCACCCCTTTGAAACCTGGCAGGGCCAGGGCCGAAACATAGCCAGAGCCTTCTCTAAGTGTCGTGAAACGCATAAGGATGTATTTGAGCCGCATACTGGAACATCACAATCCTAGCGCAGTAAAAACAAATTGTAAGAGCGTCCTGAGATGGAACCTACGTGTTCACCAACAATGCGCCCAAGGTACCAAGCGTCTGACCTCGAATTGCGTATAGAGCAATGTAGACCGAGTTACTGTAGCCCCTAATTATATGGAATAAGGATATATCTGCCCATGAGTTGTAGAGCTTTAGAACACGACGAATGCCGTCGTGCTTGGTTGAGCTACACAAAAGCGCTACTCAGGTTTTTGTTTGCTGAGTCAGAGCTATCTGACAGACTACCTAAACCCCAAACCCCAAAAACATGTAGAATAATTGCCCTAAACCCAAAATAACAGCCATAAAAGTAATTATTTCACATAGTCTTAGGGTCCAGGTAGGGTCCAGGTAGTCTGTTGCAAGCGCGTCGTCTGTGCAAGATGTTGGGTGTTTTTCTCACGAAGGCATCACTGAAAGTTTCACATGAATCCTCCCCCTCTTATATTACCTGCCTCCACCCCCCACCCCTAATGTTGAATACTTCAAATATATAGTGATATACAGCAATGGGGCGTATTAAATATTATGTGGGGGTTTAATTCTAGGGGGAGCGGATTAATGAGGGTAGTCGATTGACGTCTGAGTCACTTACCAGGAAATCAACGAGAAGGTCAGAAAGTCCGTACATGACTCAAAGATGAGGATTTCTCGAAGCCAAGAGTCCCTATCGCGTATACACAACTTTTTGTGTCGGGGACACTGTGCCGGTCTAGGGACCTCCGAAAACCGACCAGACTGCCCCTTGAGGCATCCAGACATTTGATGTAACTCACACCAGCCTGGGTGCTCTAAATCCCGATTGTTGCATTGTTGCGGAGAATCTAGGTGGGGCAGGTTTCATTCAGCAGTATTACTTGGGGGAATGTGTACCATTCAGGCCACGTTTGTGCCCTGAAGCCTGAACTGCCCTGAGCCCTAAACCAGAAGTACCGAGGTCTAAACCCTAAACTCTATAATTAAGCCCTAATTAGACCCTACTTCCCAAACCCTCTACCGTAAACATGATATTTCAAAAGCTGTAACCTCGTATTCCTCATTTAGTACCTACGTGACACCCAAACAATAGAAACCCTCGCCCGCCCAAGGCCTGCCGACGAAGATCCTCCGCCTCATGGTCCGTAAGTCGCCTTGCGGTGAAGGTGCCCACAAGTTTGAGGGTTTCCCCAAATACTGGATACCTTTGAAGAGGGTTATACAGGGGTTCTAGAGGGATATTAGGGATATATAGGGTTTAGGGTTCAGGGTTTCCCAAAACTAGTGATACCATTCCGGGGATCCCAATAATAAGGAATGTAGTAGTTGGGGGTCTATATTGGGGTCCCCTGATTTTTGGAAATTACCATACCGAGGATTCCGAGATTTTGGCTGAGGGTTTACAGCTAGGGTTTGGGGTTTGCGGTGTAGAGTCTAGGGTTTAGGGCGGAGTCGTCCGGGTTTCAGGAGTTTAGGAGTCCCGTAAACCCTAAACCTTAAAGCCATAAGCCCAAAAACCTAAACCCCAAACCCTGATGGCGAGCAGACGCATCTGCTCAACGGACCGGACAGTGAGATCCAACAGCAAGACTGACTAAGGAGCGGTGGGACCAGCAGGCAGTTTGCTCTAGCTCATTGGCTGCGTAAGTAGTTTTTGCTGTGTACGCTGGCTGTAGGTCGTGGCCAGGGCCCTAACTCGAAGGCTGCGTAAGTAAGTGCCTTTGGCCTCCATCGATGGCTGCTGGTAGAGGGGTGGTAGGTGGATGGCTTTTTGGGAGTGGCTGTGTGAAGTTTTGCCAGGGCGTCTCTGGGCCGTGCAGTAATGCATCTTCGTGGACATACTCATGCCATGGAGAAAAGGTCCCCCCCCAAAAAAAAGGCTAAAGCCTAAACCCTAAACCTGGAGTTTAGGGCTCCAGGCCCGAAACCCGGTCCAGCGAAGATATGTGTGACGTACCCTAAGCTAGGAATTTCGGTACTTGACACTCAAGATGGGTTGTCGTCCGGACAGATCTTCTTTTTTGGACCATTGATTTGGGTTTAGAGTTTAGGGTTTTATGGGAAATGGTCCTTGCAGCCATTGTGTACACACATCGCCTTGCAGAGAGGTGCCAAGATAAGTATCGCTGCAACGGTTACCGCGGCCGTCAGTGGCGCACTGTCGAGCAGAACCCCCCCCTGATAAGCTCAACTCATATTTTCTGCCTGCCTGGTGCTAACTCTTCAACCTCTCAGCCTGATCCCCATATAACATTTGCATCCCAAAGCATTTTTCCTGGGACGGCAATTGAAAAGACACTGGAAAAGCCTGGAACAGACACCAGGGAAGGAACTGTCGCAAGACAAATTCCCTGAAGCAATTCCTCCGCTAAGGATCCAACTTTCACAGAGTGGGCATGAGTCAATACACTTCAAGGCTCAAAGTAGGCATTTCTGGACCTAAAAGTATTCCGAATAATTCCCTTTTTTACACATTTTACCTGTTTTGGCCAGTGTGGTACCTACAATCGAGGTGCATGTATTGAGCGTAAACCCTAAACTCTCCACCAGGCACCAACACCTTCGACCGCTGGGAGATGCGAATCCACAAGCGCCTGATTGACCTGCACTCGCCCTCGGATGATTGGGACTCAGCTTGCTGATATGCTGCTTTGGCGGTTTCTAAATGAGGGGGGTCCCCATAGGAAGGATTATCGTATTTGGGGGTCTATACTGGGGTCCTCCGATCTATGAAACTACCATATTCATCCATACTTCCTTGTGGGATCTCTGGGCAGGTTCCTTTTTGGCTGAGGACTAAATAAACCCTAAACCGTAAACCCTACCCCGTGAGGGAAGTGCATTCCCAATGGCCCCTTCTTGAAAAGAATTTTTAGAGAAACTCTCATCTAGGAGTTCTTTCAGAGGGACGCCTGGAATCCGTTCATCTTCCCTATCTTTCTCGGTTGAGGGTATAGGATTTAGATTTTAGGAATTAGGGTTTATAGGGTTGTGGGTCTGGGGTCCCGGAATTCGGAGTTTGTTCTGGGGTTGGCATAAGGCCGCACTAGGTTGGTAACAGGCTTGGGCAGCCCGCGACTTAGCCTTGAAACTGAATTGCCCGCCTTGCGACATTTGTGTACCCAGCATTCGCGACAAAGATTTGCAACAGCAGGCCTCAAAGGAGTAAGTGCGGGGGGCCGAGGGACGAAACGATCCTGCGCACATTTTTTATGGTGCCCGGAGGGAATCTTGAGAAAGACCCACACCGCCAAAATTCATTGTAGCTTGCACCTTTGTGCCCCAAAGATGTTTAGAAGAGTCTCCAGATACCAGAGCCGCTGTTAGAACACTCTGGTTAGTAAGTTAGTTAGTTGAGTTCAAGTGCGAGCGCCACAAATCCAGCTTTGGGGCTCAGGGGTAATTAGGTTTACGCTTTGAGGCTGAAGGTTTAAAGGTTTACGGCTTAAAGTTTAGGGCTTAAGGTTTGGCCTTCAGATTTAGGGTTTCAGGTGGGTTTAGGTTCGTGGGTATAGTCCCACTTGAGTAGATAGAATATGGGGTTTATGGGGATCTTACTATAATGTACCCAAAGCCATATTCTACATACTTGAGGGGGACTATAGTTTCAAGCTGAAGAATTTCTTTCAAGGTGGTGAAGCAGATCACCTCTATCTCGATCGAGCCCCGCGCTCAGGGGTGTGAAGAACTCAAACATTTGAACTTTCTTGGAGGTTCATGGGTTAAGAAGCAGGGGCACCCCAAACTCAATAGAAGCATTTTGGTAACTCAAAACCTTATACGAAGGACCCTATCGGCGTCATATCATAGCTAGAGGAGGCTCCCCTGCCTTCCAAATACGATCTCCCTACGGTTCCGGGGAAGTGGGGTTTATACGGAAGGGGTTTTGAGTATAGGGTTTATGAAACTCCTGCATGTCCCAAAATTCCCTAGTATGGGGTACTCAAGGGCATGCAGCATGTTTGGGTCGGGCAAAACAGCGAAGACTACTTCTCTTGACCATCTACACCTCACGCAATTATATGTGGGCAACCCACTTTCCTAAAAATGCAACTCCCCCACCCCGCAATAACATATAAAAATGAATAAAGAAGCCTGGTAGATTAGGGAGAATTTATGTGAAGAGGGAGGGGGTCATTCGATTTTTCTGGGAAATTAAACATGCAAGAGAATAGGCATCTTGTGGGATTCATGGGGAAGGTGCTCGTCCCCGCGAAATTCAAGTTCCTGTATATGTTTATGTTTGGGGTCAGCGGCTTTGAGAGGGTCGTGTAAGAAATGCCATGTTCGCGCATGCATTTCACGGACAAGAGATGAATGGCTTGGAAGAGTTGTGCGTAGAAACTCCAAGGTATTGAAACACCAAGTGATAACCAGGTGGTATGTCATATTCTCTTACAGGTACTGTTATAGATAGCACTAGGGTTTGTTATGTATCTGCCTAGCCCTAAACCACGTAGATCATGGTAATCCCCCTTTCCAGTTCTTTTTCCATTTTCCATCTGATTCTGCACTATAGGCAT